GCTTGAGGATTGCAGATGTGCTCCCTGTGCACCAGGCAGCCGAGGCAGAAATCCTCTCTTGAAAAAGCTCTTGTTCTTACTGGGGGACTTTGAAAATTGCCTTTTTATTTTTAAATATATATGTATTCTCCTACAACAGCCCCCGCATTGCGTTTGTTCTGCAGTAGGGAATCGGAGACCGGGTGTTTTGTTAGCTTGGCCCATTACCCCAGGTATAAATCCTCGCATGCTGTTGGGGGCACCGAGATCAACACCCCGGGTGCTGCTCCGTGCTGTGGGGTCGTGGTGTGCAGTGCTGGGTGGGGATGTGCCACGTGCCCATACTCACCTCCATACATTTCCAGAGCTCCCCACCAAAGCTGCTTTAGGACAGCAGGCAGCCACTGCTCCTCAGCGGTGACAATTTATGGGCAATGCCTGCTTTTGAGGTGGCCCTTGGCTGCTCACCCCATTTTATCCTCAGGGCCTTCCAAAAGAAGAATTAGCCATTCTTCTTGCTTCCTGAAGCTGGTGTTTGAGTGAAGTGCACGCGGTGCTGAGAAATCCTTCATTGTGCAGAGCTGCCTCATCAGCAGAAGGGTGAGTGCCTGCGTGGGAAGGTCGGGAGGTTTTTGGGTTGCTGTCTGGTTGTTCACAGTCCTTTCGTCTAACAGTGGGCATCCTTACTCCTGCCTGCATGCAGACAGCATCAGTCACTATCCCTCAGTCACTATCCCTCCATCAGCCTGGTATGAACTATCCCAAAAATGCTGGAGAGGGCAGAACATGAAGCACAGTGCTCCTCCCCTCTACATGTTGCGTGCTGTTTCATCAGCTAAATCTGCTTTGATGGGATGCCTGAGACCCCCCCCTCTGTTGGGTGTGTTGTCCTGAATTTCCTCCCATCCCCTCCTCCATGGGGAACTCACCATTGTTGGTTTTTAATGACTTGCAAGTCATTAACAATAAACAAGAGGGGTCTGGAAATTTTTACTCTCAGAAATAGTTCATATTAATATTCATATTTTTTTGGGGTCTATTTCCTTGAGGGTGTTCGCTCTGGTGACTTTCTTCTGGTGATGATCTGTCGCCAGGCTTTCCTAGGTGAACTCTGAAGTTTCCTGGGTGTCCTTTCTTGGATCGTGTTTATAAGAAAATCCAGAAAAGAAACCAGGAAAAGCACATTAAATTACGGAGTTCAGTAAGCACTTCGTAATCAAAAATTATAAACCCAGGAAAGTTTAAGCTGGCATTTATATTTAAGAGAAATCTATGAAACACTAAGAAATACATAGCTCAGGAATCTGAAGTGCCCTTCAAATCATTAACATTTAGAGATACAGACACTGAAATGCTTTAACTGTGAGGCTGTTGCATGTTATCACTGCATCACTTAAAAACTGGCAGGAGCAAGCACTGTGTTAGTGCTCGAGATAACTCTAATTGATGCTAAGGCTTTCAATTGGTTTTAATTCCTGCAGCAGCTGAAAGCGATGGGAAAGTGCCATTGCAGCCAGGAGATAACGGGGAGTCTTTCCCTAAACATTAACAGCAACGTGTACATATGTGTGTATAGAGAGAGGTAAATAGCTATAGACAGGTATTTTGAAAATTTGCAGTGCATGTTTTCCATCTTTATGTGCAATAGCATATTAAAGGACTTTTTTTCAGGAGTTCTTATTAGTGAATGACAATTTTCATCTCTATCACCTTTCTCTCTCTTTCTTTCTTTCTTTCTTTCTTTCTTTCTTTCTTTCTTTCTTTCTTTCTTTCTTTCTTTCTTTCTTTCTTTCTTTCTTTCTTTCTTTCTTTCTTTCTTTCTTTCTTTCTTTCTTCTTTCTTTCTTTCTTTCTTTCTTTCTTTCTTTCTTTCTTTCTTTCTTTCTTTCTTTCTTTCTTTCTCCCTCTCTCTCTCTCTCTCTTTCCTTCTTTTCTCCCTGTTATTTCAAAATTTCCAGACATATTCATCATATCAAGTATATACATACTTTTTTCCTATAAAAACACTGCACTATCTTTCAAAGCAAGCAATGCACAGTGTGAGCTATCCACGGCATTAGTATTTACGGTTTGGAAGCACATTAAAACAAAAGCTAATTTAACGAGCTAGAGGAAACCAGCAGTGAAGCCGCCCCCAGAAGCCTTTCTTTTCTGCCTCATGGGGGCACCATGAATCGTGTCTAGAGCCTGGAGAGGTCTCTTCTCACTTGGGCCATCAGCTGTCTGTCTGTCTGTACGTGCACTGCTGTCTGTCCGGGAGGGGAACATCTCCCAGGGCTGCAGGAGGGAGCTGGGAGCTCCACCACCAGCCTGGCTTTTCCCTGGCTGAAGCAAACCCGTGTCCTTCCAGCAGAATCTGTTCCCCGTTGAAAAACTGCTGCGACTAATTTTAAGATATGTGTGAAATAATAGCTGTGGGCTTTGTCTTCTCTGCGGACAAAGTGTGGTAAAGCAGAGCTAAAAGCCAGAGAGCTGCTTTAGTTCTTCTATTGCATCATGAAACTCAGCCCCTCTCCTCCTGAGCAGGTGTCCTCTGGCATTCCCCTCTGAGCACCCTCCTTCCCTCTGTTTCTACTTCTCTCCAGCTCAGAGATAAATGTTCTCTTGCTGCTCCTGAGCTGAACCCAGTAGGACAAGAGTGTCCTCGTGATACTGGATTTCTCGCTAAACCAGCACTGGTAATGTGGGTAGAAGAGCTCCGTACCTCTGCAGGACCTCGGAGCTCAATGTCCTTAGTTCTAAGCAGATAAATAAAAATAAAGCCTGATTGCAAAATGGGAAAGTTAATTTTGATTTCAGATGAAATGAAAATATAGAGTGATGTTGTAGAACACCAATCAGTTCTATAAATGTATATGTCTGGTAAATGGTGAAGCCAAGGGAGATGAACAAGTTACTCAAGAAGCTACCAAGTACAGACGTACTCTCAAATCCTTTTTGTTTTCTATCTCATTATGGAAGTACTACCCTCAAAATAGTCATATCTCACTAAAGATGAACATTCATAATATTTCATTTTTTTTGAAACCTGATGGCATTTTTGAGCTGTTTATTAGGGAAATTTATTGTCTTGATTTGCTTTGTTGTTGCTCAAATTCCGTAGAATGGTGTAAGCTCATCTTTTCCAGTTTTAAGCAACTAAACCCCAGCCATCTCTCTGAAGATAAGACCTTCGGTCTGTAGTTGTCCAAAACATATTTTTCAGCAGCATTATAAGCTATTAGAAACAAGCTTCCACTCTGCATATTAAAACAACTTCACCTCAAGTGGCAAAAGCTGTCTTACCTACAATAAAAGCTTTTTCTGAAGGTCTGGTTATTGGAAGCCACATCATTCAAGCTTAGCTGGCTAACAATATCTGCCAGTTTATCTGGCATTTTGGGAAATGGATCCATGAAACTTAATTGGCTTTATATATTTACATTCAAAATATTCAAAGGGAAACCCCAGTTTATCTGACGGGTCGCCCACGCTTCTCTTTGATGAGCTTCATCATGAATAAAGATAACTTCGGCTGAGTTTTGAGCAGAACCTGGAAAACATTGGGGATCTGCAAGTCTCGAGGTAAAGCAGGCACTTTTCACCCTACATATCAAAGCCTCATCTCCTAAGCTGGATTCTTCATAAATATTTTGTGAAAGGAGGTGATAGTTATATATTTTTTTTCCTTCCTTCCCCTCTCATCGTTCTTCCATCCCTCGGCCATAAGAAAAGACTGTTCTGGTTCTGCCTGTTCACACTTTGTCTCCAAAGCACACAGCCCGAGCTCAGGAAATCAACAAATAACTGGACTTGTTGATTCCTGTCCAAATGCCTCTGCTGTCCAACGCTGAGAGTGATCATGTTTATCAGATGAACGGCGCCTGCTGTGACACCAGCCATTCACATCCCATAAGAAGATGCTCAGTGGTTTATAAGGAAAATTTAGTGCCTGTTGCAAGCCAATAAATCAATTTCCCAAGCCCCGGCAGAGACCCAGTCCGTGAGTCCTTCCTGGAACCTAATTCAGATTGAATTATTACTTCAATTGCACCTGGCAGAGATGATGTTAATGCAGAAGATGAGTTAGGAAAAAATAATGGCTGCAGAGAAAATGTGCGTGGATGAAAGAGAATGCACTTAGATGCAATAACATCTTCTAGACAGCATCATGTAAAATCAGGAGGCAGCTTTTAACTCGACAGACAGGGCAGCTGCACACCTGATTGTCGGCAAGAATGGTGAAAGTTATGGTGAAAATTGTCCTGAAGCCTTTTCTGGAATTGCAGTTTTTCTAGCATTTGTGCTGGATTTTGGTTATGAGGCTAAAGCCACCTATCTACCTCTAGAAAATAATTTCACCTCCTTTGACTACCCCGTCCTTCGTCCCTTGATTTCTTGGTGATATCCTAGAAATGTTTTTTTTTTTTTTTTTTTTTTTTTTTTTTTTTTTTTTTTTGTGGGGGATTCTGTTTGCAGGGGTGCCACACGCAGAGCCTCGTGCCTTGAAACACAGCTGCAGCCATAGGGATCTGAGCCATCCCCTGCATCATTCCCGACCCTCTGAGACCAGAGATGCAGAGAAAAGGGGACAGTTTATGGCCTCAGTTCAGCTTCACAAGCTGCCACGATGGGATCAGGAGCTAATTTAAGCCTAACAGGGTACAAGGCCTTGCACCAAACTTTGCAGTTGGAGGTGCTGATGGTTACTGCTGCCCCACAGCTTGCTTGGGCCCTGAAAAAAACTCCCAGAAAAGGTCACTGGACTAGTACCAAAACCTGCCATGTTTTATTTCTCATCTCCTATCAGTCTCCTTCAGGGCATGGTGTTGGTGGCACAGGTACTGCAGAACAAAGTCGTGGACATGGTTCCTGGGGGGAGCTCACATTTGTGCGCTGCCAGACCCCTGGGAAGAGTGTGCTTGCTTCTACAGAAGCACTCCCCAGGGGAAAAGGGGAAAAGGAACCTTTGCTCTTGCTGCTTTTCCCACAGAAATGATTTCTGTGAGCCCTCCTTAATTGGTTCAGACAGATTGAATCAGGTTAATGAGGACCTGCTGTTTAAAGACTGGGTGCCCAGCCAGCTCACCTAGGCTGAAGCTGGCTGGGAAGGGTCAGTACGCAGCTCCAGGGGGACCAGGAGGTGTTTTGGGTATGGAGCAGAGGAAGGTAAGGGTCTGGTGGGGGGTGTGTGCCCCTTGTTGTGGGTCAGACTTCTGCCTTGCTTGCTTTTGACATCCTGGGCTCTGCTGTTTCTTTCTTGCTTGATATTTTCTGCAGCATTGAGGAATCCAGCGGGGAAGTGCTTGATTACTTTTCCATTGGTGACCTCAATAAACATGTTTTGAGGTTGAAGCCTAGACCCAGGGACAGATCCTCAAAGAGCCAGTTTGCATCTTGCTGAGACAGTTTAAGTGCTGAATCCTCAAAACACCAACAAACCTACCTCCTACACCACTCTGGTCCTGTCTCAGATGCTCTCCATTTCAGGAGTTGCTGGCTGGTATGGGTATAAATGTACATCCTACAGCACTGTGAGCTCTGGTTTTTATAGACCACTTGTCCACTTATGTAAATTCCAAATCGTGAAGATTATTTTCAGAGCAGATATTATCTTGGTGCATCTCATTTGCTCAGCACTTCCTTTAATGGTGCTCTGGTCCCTTGTTAGAGTACTCGGATATAATTTCAATAAAAACTGGTGATAGTGGTTTGCCAAACTACCTTTTCCTTTCAGGCCTGCTGTGTTGTGCCTTTCCGAAATAGCCTGGCCACCTGATTATTCTTTTACCCAGGAAATCCTCTGGCAAGTAAGTGGCTTAGAGATGTCGGCAGCAGAGAGAAATTTAGCATTGCCTGGCTGGATGCAAGATCCAACAGGATCAGAGCATAATTACCTGGTAGCAAGTTCAAAATCAATAAATATATTTTCCATTATTACTAATTTATTTTATTCCCCCCCACCTTGGGCTGAGGCTGTGACTCATCTCAGAAACCTGGGCTCTAAGTGCAGGAAACTGGAGTGCTAATAAACCTGGGATGGCATGGAATGTGTTAAAATTTTGGGTCGGATGGGGATCTTTGAGCTGGTGGGAAATATTTTCTTACTAACGGTGAACTTGGTGTGCTAGGTAATGCTCAAGAGGCAATTTTTTTTCTTAGTATTAGAGAGAGCTTCTCCCCCAAATTTCAGCTGGCTCTGGAAACAAGAGCTCCTCTCATGTTTCCTAGTCTTCTTTTCCAAAAATGCTTTCCCAGTGAAATCTATACCCCTTAGATACAGGTTTGATGAAAAAGTAATGAATGTATTTACCACTGTACTTTCTTACCCTGAAGGAAAGCAAAAAGAAAACACAATTAGAATTTCTGCCTCTTATTTCTTCAAAATATTTTTGTTGAAAGTGCTCAAAGACTGTCATCTTGCTAAGAAAACTGATTTGTATTTTTATTCAGCTTGGATTTATCAGGTGAAAAGAGCCACTTTTGGTTAAAATGACTTTGCTAACTAGCTGTTGATCAGCTTGATCAGATGAAGTGAGAAACCTTGCACCAGATAGCAGTGAAGTCTCTCTCCTCTTCCTCGGTTCTGGGTTAATCATCCTGTATGGATGATCAGAAATGGCAAATTCTTAACTAGTGACTGTCTTTTTTTCCTCTGAGGGATGGACACAGCAGTGTTCAAGGGAGATAATTTCAACTGGGGATGTGACAGGACTTGAATGTCCAATTCCCCTGAAAAGCCCTTGCTTGGGTATATGGGTCTGGGGCAGTGGAAAGAGAAAGATTGCCCTGGCTCTTCCCTTGGCTCCTCACCATTCAACACACCTTGTAGGAACCATCATTTCCCAGTACTAACCATCACCCTTTTTTTATTCATATATTTTCTGTAGACGAGGGAGGCAGCAACAGTTGCTTGTATATGGCTAAGGCTGTCACTGCTGTGACCTGTTGGTCCTGATTCAGGCCAAGAGGCAGAGCACCCACGCAAGTGACTTTGGGGTGTCCTTACTTGTCCTGCATGCTGAGTGTATACTCAGGATGAGTTGCTGGCACATGCTTATGGGTATTGATGTGTAGTATCTCATATATCTCTAGTAGTATCTCATGGCCATTATATCCTTCTTTGCATTAGGATGCCCTGTGGAACGTGCTGCCGATGATGCTAATGTGGTCCTGGGGAGAAAGTTGGAACTTATCAAACTTCTTTTTCCCCCCTGCCCTGTATTTTCTGCTGTCCCATCTCACACTACACCCAAAAGTACATGAATATGATTAAAATTCTGATTACTCATATGAACTATGTAGAAAAGAACAGCTTTGGAATTAAAATTCAGAGAGAAATTGAATCCCATAACAGAGCCTGCATTTATATTCAAAATATGCTAATATGCTGTTCCATGAGATCTTTGAATTCAATCAGGAAATCACCTAACAATAAAAGCCTAAAAATATATACAGAAGAGAAAGCAAGTGAGAAAGCCAGCTGATGGCAGTGATAAAATCTCAGCACAAATTTAGATAAACCTGATTGATAGCTTCTTTTTTTATTCTCTCTAAGATTTTTAAAAGTTAATCCAATCCTGCTTGGTGTTAGCGGAGTGAATGAACATTGTCTTTATTTATTTTTTCTTCTCCTCTGGCATGATCCTGAAGTTCTGAAGCAATGAGCTGGTTTAGACAAAGCAGTAGATTTCTAATTTAGTTTGTTTATTATGTAACCGAGTGTAATTGCTAATAGAGAAACAAGTTATTACAGGCTGACGTGCCTAGTTAACATGAGCAAAGACCAATTCGGATGCAGCCCTGGTTCTCGTGTTCAGTAGCATTGCTTGGCTCCTTGATAGGTGTGACAGGAGCTTGTTAGCTGTTCTTTCCTGCAGGATTTGGCGTGGGGACAGGAGCAAACATTTGGGGCGTGCTAGGTAGCACAAGCACCTGGTTGCATGGATGTCGCTGCAGCTCGGCACCTCTCACAGCGACTGCATGAGCCAGATGTTCAAATATCTCTGGGTGATTGATTACAGCATGTTTTAAGAACTTGCATGCATGCAGGTGTCAGGGCCTCTGTTGTCGAGAGCCTCTTCTGTAATTTTGCTGACGGCCTTGCCCAAAGAAACCAAATGTTAGCAGCAGAGAGAAGACGTGCACTGCCAGGTACAAAGGTTGTTAATTGGCTGGTCTTATGGGAGATGTGGTTTTGGAGGAGGTAATGATTCTGGAAGCTTTTTCTAAAGCAAAGAATATGGAATAATTACCTTATACAAGTGCAAGCAGTCCAGCTGGTGTTCAGAGATGGGGGCACCTCAAGGTGCTGCCTCATGGAGGGGTGTCAGGGGCTGCTGGGCCACTGTCCAGCAGCCAGAGATTGGGCTACAATCTGTCAGATTTGCCAGCTGCCCTTAATACAGAGGCTGGATTGAGTAATTAGTCCACCTGGAGGGGGCTGCCCCCTGCTACAGGGTGGGGAGGGACTGCAGCTTGCAGTGCAGGCAGATGCGGTACGAGTCCGTCATCCCCCAGCACAGGGCAGGGTGGCTGGTTTTAGGAACCTGGGATTTTTGCAGTTGGAGTTAAATATAATTCCTGTTTCTACTTGGAAAGCAATGAGTCTTGTATGCTGAGTGGCTGCTTCTGTGCTGCTCACTGGTGCTCCGATCACGATGCAAATCTCCCTGGGTCCTGGGTGTTGCAATGAGGAAAAGACTTCTTGTTTTGTAAGTACAGCTAGTAAACTAAATACCATCATATCTCATTAGTTCTCCTGTATGCTCTTTAAACACTCTTGCTTCCCTTTGACAACTGTGTGACAGGACCTGGCTCTTTATGGGTCACTTAGCTACTTCCCATGTGAAATAGTGGCACATTTTGGGGGCATGTTTTTCTGGCAAATCTGGACCTATGTGTTCATCTCTTTGGCAAGGGTAACCTAGATAAAACTAATTTCTAACCTCTGCCCATTAGAGTGATAGAAACCCATCCAGGATCATTCTTGATAATTGCATTTGTTTTCATACCAATAAATGACTCAATGACAGGGTTTTGTGTTCTAGCCACACTTGTGTTACTCATTTTTCCTGGTGTTTTCCAGAGACCAGAATTGCAAACTGACAGAAAAAGTGAAAAGTTTTAGCTCTTATTTCTTGCTTTGATACCTAAAAGCATCGGCAACAACCTTACAAAGGCAGCCTGTTCCTCTGAGGTTCTGGTGGTTAGGTTCCTTTACAGCACTTGAAGTTGTCCTTTGGACTCCAGGAGGTTTTCCTGTCTCTAGAAATTTACATGGCCCAGTTCTGGCTGGTTTTATGTTAGCTGTGGAGTACGTGATGAAGATTAAGAAAACCTGTGCTGCCTTAATTTAAGGCATATAGTGGCAACCGATAGTCTAAATCCTGACGGGCTACTTATTTCTAATGACTGCTGTGCCTGTGAAAAAAGAAGAGACGATATGAAAGACATCCATCTGGGTACTCCTAAATCCTGTATTCTCAATCCTATTTATAAAAAAATAAAATTTATAAAAGGATGATAATCTTCCAGTATCCCAAAATAGCCTGTACCTTGACTCGCCTGCTCGAACCTCAGGGAGCACTTGGCTGGGTAAAGCTGTGTTTGTGTCGGAGTGCAAAGTGCATGTGCTCAACAGCCCTGGAGGCTGCTTTTCTGAATTAAATAACAAATAAAACACCTTTAGTTCTTGAGGGCTTAAAACGTGTTGCTGCCATGCTTGTGTCACCTTTGTGTGCTGCTGCAGAGGTGGTAGGTGGGGAGAGAAAATGATTTATTTTTATGCTTTCCAGTGATGGAAAGACCTCTGTCCTCCTTCCTGCTGGACAAAGGTTTCTTCTTCTCCCAAATGTGAGTCTGCCTTGGTGTCTGAAGATCTAGTGCCTGGTCTTATATGCTGAACATGTGAGCTCTTGAGCGTCTTCAGTTTCATTTTGAAGTTCTAATATTTACATTTAAACTGTGTATAAACAACATACACTGCGTAAATATTCATGCTTTGCTTGTCTGAGGGTACAGAACAATCCTACTAGCATATTTCATTTGCTTCTTTTTGTTTTTATTTTTTTATTTGGTGCTTAGTTTTTGGCAAGGTATTAAACAGCTTCTGGATCTTCTGCAATAAATAAATCCAGCCTGACCCTCTTAATTATTTGAATATTTGCAAAGAGATTTGAAATTCTTTGTGGAACGAGTAATTTCCCAAATCTACGTAGCAATTACCAATGTTTTAAGCCAATCTGATTTCTTTATTCAGGTTTAAGAGTTATCTTAATTCATGTACCAGTCTGAGGTTCCCTCATGCAAATATATAGCAGGTGATGTATTCAGGTAGCCATATGACATTTTGCACATGAATTTTGCATACAGTTTTTCCTATTTTCCTCAGGAAAAAAGAAATGCTCAGGAATTTTGGTACATTTATTCCCTCTCCCCTACGTCCAAAACATTATGGAATATATGGGTCAATTTCCCTTAAGCTGTAGGACGTGGTAAATTCCACTGCTCACAAAGCTGCCTGTTTTCAATATCTCTATCTGGTGGAAATGGGAGAGTAATTGATGCCAGCATATTCTTAAACACAGGATTTGTAATGTTACCATGTGGAGGACTTTGATGCTAGTAACTGGAAAAATGTGAAGAGTTGCTTTTGTTCAGTCTCAGCGTGACTATTCAGACCCACACCTTAATCCATGCAAGTCTGAAGAATTAAGGCATGTATTTTATTATATTTTTTCTTTCATTGTGAGTTATTTTCTGTTATTTCTAAATGTGGTTCTGCTATGGTTGAAATCCTTGCTCGAAGTTGAGTATTTAAGTCTAAAGCACTTCCAATCTTGTTTTTAAATCTGTTATACTTCCTCCTTGCCCTAGGATGCTCAGAAATCTATATTTAAGACACTCAGGAGCAATGATGCTCTGATATGTGGTGTTGCTTTTTATACTTCCTCCTACTTTTTCTTTAAGTTAATGGAGTCCTAGTTGTGTTTCTTTTGTGCTGAGCAGGTTTTGTTATGCCCAGCTGTTTTTTGTTCCTCTATTTGTGCCAGGGTACCTGTTTATGCTGGAGGTGCACCTCCAGGGCCTTCCACACCTGGATTTTTCTGGACATCCTCAGAGTTACTAAATGGTGCTCAAGCCTGCTCGTTTGCATGGGAGCTGGAAATGTCAAGGGTCTCTACCATAGCTGAACATGACATTAATCTGATCGTGCTGGGTGGGCATCCCTTGCTGTTAGATTCAGGTGAGAGGGAAGAGGAGGAGGAGGGAGTGCCACGTATGGGTGGTGGCTTAGAAAGTCTTCAATATTTTTGTTAATAACTCTGAACAGAAGTTATAAAATGGGCATGTGTGAAGCACGGGTATGTCTGCTGTCCCACTGGTGTTGGAGGAGAGTGGCTCATTCTGGACCCTAAAGACTAAGTAAGGCTCCTTGGGTAAGTGGGGCCAAGAATCTGGAAGAAGCTTCTGGATGTCTGGTTCTCATCTAGATTCTAGGTTTAGTCACCAAGTCTGCATGAATGAATAACCAAAGAGGTTGAGGACTGCTTTGGCCCCTTCTCTGCAGTCATTTATGTTGTGTAGATGTTGATACGACTCCTGTGCCCTTGTGCAGCCTGGTGGTAGGCAGAGCTGGATGTCTCAGTGGCATGTGCAAAAGGCTGGTTCCCAAGGCTGGCACTTGGTTTGAATCTGGCCACTCTATATACTAGTGCAGACCTACCTTGAAGCTTTATCTGAAAATTCCTCCAGCAACTGTCAGGTGAGGTTCATGGGTAGATTTCATTCATGTTCAGCTTCTAACTGAGCCTTTTGGTCAGTGTTTTCACTAAGTGAGCTAGAGCCAGTGTGTAGAGCTATACAGATGGAGACCTGCACAAAATACAGGCTCTCTGTGACTCTCAAAACCCAGGTGAGGATGTTTATTTTTCCCCCTCCTATCTCCTGTGGCTTGGGTATTCATCCAGGTTGTACTGGGTCCTGTTTCAGATCCACACTTCAGAGGCAGGTTCTGAACGACAACCTTTCCTTTCTGTAGGAGTAAATTTTAGCCATTAAAACACTGTCTCTTTTGCTTATTTGTGAAGCACAGCAATTGTTCACTGAGACTGACAGAGGATGAGTAATTCCTAGACTGGGCAAAGGCAATCAGCAGGCATAAGGCAATGCAGGTCACGACTCCAAACAGTGTAAAACAAAAGCCATTGGGAGAGGTGATGTAGAAATATTTCAGAATGTTTTTTAGGGTTGTCTTTTGAGGAAAGTGTGAAGAGTTTGGGTAAAATGTCTCCTGAACTGATCAAGTAGAAAATAGTTTTGAACCGAAGTGACACTATTAGCTCAAGCAACTCTCGCTGGATTTCCTCTGCTTTTATCGACTATCAAAACAATGTTTTATTTAACCTGGAGTAAGTTTCTCTCTGGCCCTCAGCGAGTGTCATTGGTTTGACTAACAAACCAAAGAAATCAATTATTCTCACAGCACTGGGCGCAACATGCTTCGCTCTCCAACCAAAATCACTTAAGAGTGTTTAAAGTGTGGTGCAAATAGCATGAGGTTGTTTGTACTGAAATGTAACATATGGTAGACAAGTCCGATGAATATTGGGAAAAAGTATTATTGCTCATGTCTAACAGCTGGAGAATTGTATTATCATTATATGGTTGGTTACTTCCTAAGGGATTCTAAAACTTCTGAAAGCAGAGCCCTCCAAAGCAGACAGCTCTCCCCTGACAGCCCAGGAACACGATGTTTAAAGGCTTGCACGATATTAGCAGCCTTGGAGTAGATTGTCAATCATTGTATCCTCTTGTTTCTGGTGTAAAGTCAGCATCACAACCATTAGATGTGTTGGCTTTGAGAGGTGTTCACATAACCAAGGGTACTGCTGGGAGCCTCAAGCTTGAGAAACTGAACCCAAACATGGTCAGAGCCCTTACTGAGCTAGCCAGCAAAGTCAATGTATGATTTCAGGCAGGGGTTTCTACACAATCTAAAACCACACAAGTACTTATCAATTATTGATAGAATGCCCTATTGCCATTTTTTGTCTGATTAGTAAGGAAAAAAATAACCTCCCTTCACGTAGAAGCCTAGAAGGAAGGTGAAGGCTTCTCCAGGCAGTGTATTGACTTACTATAGGTGACTGTTATCTTTATATGCATCTATGCAGGGAAGTGATGGTGCTAAGGCATAACATCTTGCCTCCTAGCTTCATGTTGTCTAAATTGCTGGAGCATAAGTATGTTGAGACTTGGTGAAAATGTCATAGCCTGGAGATGAAGCTAGGCTAGCTGCCCCTCGGCTGCTGGAGAGAAGAAACATCTTGGGACAAAGTGATGATGGCCATAGTGGATGCTGATGTCCCTGGTTTGGGCAATCCCAAGCTCATGAGTGGAAGGAATACAGCGCTAGATGATATTATCAAGCATGGAATAGTAATTGGATTCATAAAACCTGTGGCTTTCCACCTTGATGCAGAAGACCTTCAGTGAGGTGAGGTAGTTTTTTGTTTAGAGTGATGAGAACTGTAAATGTTCATGGTCTGAGTTGGGGACATAAATTGTAGGGGTTTGGAAACTAGGCTTGGAGGCAAAATATAAACTGGACCATAGAGATGTGGATTGCAATGTTAATATCTTCAGAAATATTTCCATTGCATGCAGGACTGCATTGGTGCTGATTCAGGATATCTTGAAGATACTTTTGTTTTAATGACTGTAATGCTTTCAAATTCAGTGCTTTGTGGTTATTACATATACAGATAGGACACTTCTTGAAAAAGAGAAACAGCTGAAAAGGGAAAACATTTGCAGGTAGAATAGATAGTTTTTAAAGTTGCCATGTTAGACATTTACAGCAAATGTATACCATGTTCTGAAAAAAGAAAAAAAAGGCTTTAGAAATCTCGAATTTAGCTTTCCAGGGTTCCTTTATAGTCCATAGGAGAGAGGCACAAAGGGACAAATGTGTCCAGCTTCTTCATAAAAGGCGAAATTTTCCCCTGCAAGAAGCACAAGTATCCACACTTTTCAAAAACCCTAAGGCTTTTTCAGAAGCTGTAGAGGTGTATCTAGTCCAGGCAGTGCTTATGATGCAAGATGAATTCATGAGGGTGAATAATGCTATAACAGAAAATCCAGCTTGATTTTTTTGTGTTTCACTTGCATGTGAAGGAGCTTTGAGAATTTCTTATTTTGGAGCCTTTCTCTATGAAGGAACAGGGTTTCAAAATCAAGTATCAATAAAAATATTTAGATGGAAATGATGAAATTAGTCATTAGGTCTGGGTACCTATCATCTCCTCAGTACACACAACAACCTCAAATGACTTTTAAATGGCCCATTCAGTAAAGTAATAGATTATTTTTCATATAAGTTAGTATTGGGGGAATGAATTAAAAAGGTTCTGGAGGTCTGAGATATTGCAGATTACTAAATCTCACTTCCAGGTCTTGTAAACCAGTTGGAAGTAGGACGATATTGATAGATAAATATGATATTACAGTGTTCATCTTAGAAAATCATCAGGTAGCACACTAGAAAACAGTCATATCTGGATATTTATGTAGAGTACATTGTTGGTCTGCAATGTAAGCCAATTAATAATTTTTTGAATTTAATCTTGTAGGAACTGAATGGTTTCCCATGAATGGGAAACCCAGACAGTGTGGTGCTCCAGATTACTTTAATATGTTTTTCCTGGAACGAGGATGCACCAGCAGTCCATGCTCTGCAGGTATGGCTGCAACACCTGATGGGGTGATAACTGCAATCAGGTGAGAACACCAGGGAATAGATGCTTAACAAACTGCCTAATCAAAAGTCCATTATATTCTCAGAATTAATGAGTTGCTGAGTGCTTCAATTAATACTGGGCATTTTGTAGAAGTCTTACGCATTTTTATTAATTTAGCAGCAATTCCTAGCAAATGCCTATCAGTAGGAGTTGTAATGAAGTGATGTGGCATTCAGAATATGTTCAGGGGTGGGTTTAGCCATAACTAGAGTCTGGATGTTTAATAAAACATCTATTATGCATTATTTCTCCCTGTTTGCATCAAGTTATACTTTTATAAAAAAAGTGTGATATTCTTCACTCATGTAGTACTGATCTCTCAAATAAATGCTATTTGCACACTGAGAATATATATTAATTTGAGCACTGAATTTACTTATGCAGAAAGTATATATGTAAACACCCTCTGTGTGCAAGACATGCACACTCAAATACCTATTTGCATAGCTAAATGGAGTTAGAGCCCAGACATACTGCAAATGTTTTGTATCTGCATTCAACAGATGTATTAGTTTCCATTTCTAAAAAAGAAATAGTCTATCTCATGTAGTGTAAACAAATCTGCTGCATATCTTTTTTAAAAAAGAAATAATCAAGATGTTCATTGGAAGGCTCGTACTTCATTTGAGTGAAACTCAAAAATGTTTCCATTTCAAAGAGGTATTTTTGTTTGCTAGTAGTTTTACAATCTTAACTTTCAATCTGCAATCTGGCATGTGTGGATGCATATACATATTTGTCTCCAATATATATATTTTGGGGAACAAACTGTGATATCTCTGTGTTGGGGGCCAGCCTCAAGATTTGCTCATTATCTAAAATCTGTCACCCAGGTTTTCTGAGGACCTCTTCTATGCATCAAACTTCCATTGCACAAATTAGTTGCACATTGTCCAAGTGCCTTTGCAGATCTTCCTCCAGTCTTCCAAGACTGTGATGCTTTGCTAGTTAAGGACAATGTGAAAATCGGGACTGCTCGGTAGCTAAAAACCAAAAGCTTGAGAAACTCCAAGTCCATTGAATCTAACTCCATGTAATCTCAAGAAACACTGAAGCCTTTGACAAATATAGTCTGAGGCTTATATATTCAAGCCAGAAAATAACCTTATTTGAGATTTCCTTTCCCCTCTTCCTCTAATCTGCTTTAGCTGTAAGCTTCTGTCTCCACGAAGAGAAAGCTGAGCTGTTTGTCTGAACCTAAATATGATGCTTTAGATGCCAAAACGCAGGGGATTTCTGCTCTGAAACTATATTTGGAAGAGATGTCTAAATGTAGTCTAGCATTAACCACTAAAGTCTGAGTGAAAGACAGTTTCACTTTTTTTTTTTTTGTTGTTGGTTGACGTGAGCCACTCTCTACTGAAAATCCTCTCTGTTCTAGAGCTCTGCATCTGGTGCTTAGGTACCCAGTCCTCCCCAGTTAATGTAAAGGGTATTTGGACATTTAAGTCAACATCTGTTTTCCATGCCAGGAACCACTTGCTAATGTCTTTTTGCATGAAGTTCTGGTTTAGGTCTAATATTTTTTCCCAAATTTCATCCTTCCTTCTAAATAAGCAACATACTTGCTCTCTCTCCAACACTCTATAGAAAGAAGTACAAAGAGTGACAAAGCTTGGTTACATATGGACTTGATTGATGACTTGTTTAATGTAGACGATGTTTTCAGGTGATCTTAAAAAAGACATAGTCCTGTCTTAAGTGTTGTCCAGGCAGGCTTAGGCCCAGAAGTAAAGCAGGTGTTTTCACTGTTAAGGTAATGATCCTTGAACATGAAAATAAATCAAAGTAATGGCTGCAAAACTTATCAAAAGTCATAAATCTGGGTGGTTAGATATCAATGTCACAAGCTGTTTATTTTTACAAAGTCATGATGTTGATTCATTCTTACGAAGCTTGTGTTCATAAAAGCACTACTCAGAAGTTTTGGTTTCTGGATGACTTTTTTCAGCTTTTTTTGAGGAGCTGTCTGTAATTTTGGTATATTGCTGGCAAAAAACAAACAAAACAAAAAAAACAACCTGCCATTCTGGGTAGGTTTCAAAGACTGGAGTAGGTGGTTTGTGTATTGCACAATTCCTTACCAGGAAAATGAGGCTGAATTTTGTTACTCTTTGGGTGATTCCACAGGAATTGAAAGGAGGGGAGCTCCTTGGGGCTGTAGGACATAACTCAGGAACACAATCCATGTGGTCAATCAGAAAAGGAGATTAATGTGACTTGATCTGTGTAAGTGACTTCCCAGTGAGAAATGTTGGCTCCTAAAGTTGTCTTAATAAAGTAAAAAGGGAGAGAAAGAATGAACTGCTGGGAACTGGAGCAATAAAAAATAAAAAAGAATTAGACACAATTCTTTATATACAGGCGTGGTTAACCGCTATTGTAAATGTTGGCTTCTGTTGATGTATTTCACAGAATCGTAGATGCTATGAAATGTTCTAGCACCAGCATTTCCAGCACTAGTAAAAACATCCCTGAAGTATACTTGATCCAAAACCTAATTATTCTTCAGGCAAGTCTAATCTATTATGCTCTGTGTAACAGTAGCTGGATAAAGTACAGGAACTCTTTAGAGGACTGGGTGGTCATTTGTGACAGTAAAAAATACACAGTGTTATGCTTATGCTAGGTTAAACCTAATATCTAAATTGCCTTCCCTTGGACAGGCTGAGAGATGCACAAGAGGTGGTAGGAGTAGGGAAATAAAATAATTTCTCAACTAGTGTTCAGGGGGTTGTTTTGCACTGACCTGGTGGGTGGCAGTAGTGCAGAGTCTAGCCATAGGTAATTTCTAGGTGAGAGGCACTGCACACAGGACTGGTCTGTGAACAAAATATATTAAAATATAAAATATTTGAATATAAATTAAAAAAAATAAATATAAAACCCCAGCAAGTTGCTCCCTCTCTACGCTGTGGTCTTGGAAAAGACCTACTTCTGAAAAGGGCTTTAAGTTCTCTTAAACTTCATTTCAAGAAGACAGAAGCATAATTCAAGTGAATATCTTTTGCTTTTACTGGCATGTGGCAGCTTTTGGAGGTTGTCCTGCAGCTTTCCAAGCCCTAGAAACTGCCTGCCTGCCTTTGCACTGGTGTATTTCATTCAACATGCTCTTAGCGCACAGCAAAATCCCTGACAAGGTATTATTAAGAATCTAATGTGCTCTTTGTTAGGACCACTTTCTTAGAAAATATTGTTTCTGCAGGTTCAAAGCTTTTAGAGAACAATTCCAACTCCAATGAAATTTTAGTAAATTTGAAAAAAATAATTTTTCCTTCTTACATTTGGTATCATTCTATATAACATACCTTGGGAAAATCAGTCTCAGAATGAAACACTTCTGCTTTTTCAACATGTCAAATTACCACACGTTGTTCACTAAATGTAGTTTGTGGGGATGTTCAGCATGAAGGATGCTCTTGCTGGTGTTGATCATGAAGCCAGGGATGATGTGCAGCTGGTGTGCACGATGCTCGCCTTGCTATTAGCAGAACCACGGCTGTGTGGGGGAATTTAGGAGGATTTCACTCTCGGATTAAGCCAGCAGCAATAACAACGTATTTTGTAGATTGCAAGGATTTTGGAGAAAGTAATTCTTATGATCCTTTCTGAGTATCTTCACTTCTGGGTTATTAAAATATAGAACCAGATGTAACCATCTGATGTGCACTTCACAGGTTACAAGCTTGATGACCTCTACATGGATAATAACTGTTTTTCCAAAGAAGTCCTGGCTCCTGTCAATAGGAGCAGTGTTTTTTTTCTTATATGTGCATGACTGCTGAAGAGCCACAGTCCATCTTTATCCATCCTCATCCATCTTTACCAGGCAAATCAGGCTGACATGAAGCTCTGTGCTGGCCCAGTGAGGCAGGCATATGGCAAGTTGCCCAAGCTCCCCATGGAAGCCCTGATATTGCTTCTGAGCATCAGCCCGGGTGCAGCTTCCCTTTTGCCATATCACATTTCTCATTGCTCTGGGACCTGCTGAGAACCAACGAGAGCAGGTCCAGAGATCTCCTGCATCATCAGGGGCTGTGCCCAACAAAAGCCCTGCTAGGGCGCTTAGTAGGGCACCTTAAATGTCTTCCTACCTTCTGTGTTTAGAGTGCTACAGGGGTGATATTAACACCTTGGAGTTACCCCTGCTCCCCACCTGTGCTTCTGAAAGACCTTCAGAAAGCCTTGCTTGGTGCTCTGAGCCTGCAGTAGCAGAGGTTTCTGCCCGCCTCCTGCAGCAAAGAAACATGCAGAGCTTTGTGGTAAAAAATGTGAATCAATACGGCTTCAGGAATAATGCAATTTTAGGATTAGAGGTTAGAGCCTGGACTGCTGGGGGATAGGTAATATTTGAGGGCTCATTACCCTACTATTTTAGGAAGGAAATCTTGGGTGTTTGGTACAGTGAGGAATGTTATTCCCAGACACCTACCCTATTCCCTTTATTTCTGTTATTATCTCTTGAGTCCTGGTGTGCTGTGTTTCGACGCTATTTGTTTTTCAACTGAAATTTAGATGCCAGCTCTTTTATTTGACTGTATCAAGCTTTGTTTCGCACTGGGAGAAAATACAGGGCATATCTGTCTGTGTGTTTGTCAGGGGCAACCAAACAGCTTTTGTAAAGGATCTGGAAGTTGTTTCCCTCGAGCTTCTCCATTAACCTGCTCACCACCAACAAGCACCTCCACGGCGTGGAGTTGCTCAGGTGTAAAGTAATGTAGAAATTCAAGTACCTTTGGCAGGGCAGCTCCACGGAGAGCAGTGCAGTGCAGCAGAAGGCATTAAAACGCTGGTTTATGCCAGATGAAGATATGTGCTATTAGCTATGGCCTCTGCTTAGTGCAGGCATCATTACATGATGTTCTTTGCATTTATTTCTGAGTGGGCCATATACTTTTGCTTTTGGGGAATGAAAGCATGGAGTCACAGATATTAAAGCTGAGCATGAGAAGATCTGGGGGAAGAAGAATTCATGGTGGA